GCATTTTGGTTATTCAGAAGAAGTTGTTTAAAGGTTTTTTAATACAATTGACCCCTGTGACCTTGAATATAATTGAAGGTCATTCATTTGAACAAACTTGGTAGCCCTTCACCCAAGCATGCTACTGGCCAAATATCATCTCCCTGGGCATTTTGGTTATTGAGAAGAAGATGTTTAAAGTTTTTGACATATTTGACCCCTGTGACCTTGAAAATAGGTGAAGGTCATTAATTTTAACAAACTTTGTAGCCCTTCATCCAAGTTTGCTTCTGGCCAAATATTGACACCCTAGGCCTTTCGGTTATTAAGGAGAAGTCGTTTAAAGTAAAATATTGACGCCGGACGGACGGACGCCGCGCCATGGCATAAGCTCACTTGGCACTTCGTGCCAGGTGAGCTAAAAAACCTGTATTGATTAATGTATATGCTAATTGTATATGTGTACTGTGAAGCACTGTAGGGTGGCTTATGTTAGCTAGATAGGGCGCTATATCAAATGTTGTATATTATTATTATAAATGATCTATTTTACGAGTAGACTGCCAGAATTTGGCAAGATAATATCTGAATACATCAGGTGTGCTCACCTTGTAAGAGTTGATAAGCCATGTTGGGAGAGGGAAGGCTTGGGCTAACAGTTTCATCGCTATACATCTGTGGTACTGCCCTGTAGAGTCTTCATACGTCTCTAAATAGTGCTGCAGAAGCAACCAGGCAAGGTCCGTGGCACTGCAAAAACAAAGGATCATCAATACATTCTGACCCACAGTTCATCATCTCATTCTGTACATCGTATTATCAGAGACTTTGATATTAGAAATATTTGAACTCGCAAAAGGGATCAACATTCACATGTCTCTTTGGATAAATGTGTTTAAATAAAAATACTTGAGATCTTTGAACTTTCCAGTTTCAAGGATTAATGCGACAATGCAACTCGTCTTACTCTTCACATATTAACGTGACAAAATATATCTTTATCAACTTGTCACAAATCAATGTGACAATACATGTCTAAACTAAATCTTCATTAATTAATTGATAACGAGTTGACTCTTCATGAATAAACGAGATTTAATTGTATGATTCTTAAAAAATAATGTGACAACACATTTCTTGATCAAATCTTCACAAAGTAATTGTGACTACATATATCTCTATCAACTCTCCACCAATAAATGTAAACTTTCCAAAAATCAATGCGACAAAACATATTTTGATCAAATTAATACAGGTGTAGTAAAGTTTTCCTACAAGCTCAGTCGAGCATCAGAAAATGAAAGCTTACTGACTTAAATTAGTATGAAATGGAAACTTATTTAAGATCCTTAAAATTGTTTGGACTTTCAGACAAACCAGTGCACTAGAGTTTGAAGTGATAATGTTTGAAATCATAATTCATGGATCATTAACTCATTCACCCCTGAAATTTCATAATTAACTATTCCAACCTTTGAATTTGAAGAGTTCAAATGTGTCTTCAGGGGTGAATGAGGATATAATCAAACAGGGTTGAGTATTACCTTTACCCCTTGTTTACTATAGGAGCAAGTTCTAAACATCAACATAAAACCAAACATTAAACATATGTAGAAGGCAACACATCTGGGACTACCAACATAGCTACAGAAGAATGCTTAATGCTGTTTATGGTTTTTGAAACAGTTACCTTTTTACTTCACAATTGTCAAAAACTAGAATTGTGAAACCTATAATGGGACCTATAGTGAAGAGTACCTGGTATCCTTGGTGAGGTTAGATAGAGCTAAGTTGTTTTCCTGTAGCCAGTCCCATGTCACTGACACTACTGAGTTATCCCAGGAACTACTGCGGGCCAGCTTCACACACCTAGTACAGAGTAAAATTTAAATTCATATACACAGTACTTTAAAACTACGTATTGAAACTGAGGATAATTAATGATATATATTTTTTTAAATACAGAGGGGTTTGGGATGTGGCAGCTTGGTATAATTATCAGCATCACACTTATAATAAATCAACAGAGTATTTTCATTTCGTCACTTTCAAACATTGGTTATAATGACTATAATAAATGCTACTTAGAACACAAACCTGAGTGCAAGACTTTCAAACACTGTGACTAGCTTCATATCAAACACCTGACAGACAGTGATTGCTCGGTCGTACATTCCTGCCCTCACCAGTAGTCCCACCATCTCATCTGGTCCTGGAGTTGGACCTGTGAAAGCCAGAGTTTCAAAGTGTTGAAAATGTACCAACAATTCTACCATGATACTGTTCTTTAAATATAATAAACGCATAAAACACCTGTGTCAGACTGATCCTATGAATATGCAAGTTAAATATGAAATTTATCTATCTTACAACAATTGTGAAATTTTCCAACTTATATTGATCACTCTTGTTGTCTAAGACCAAAACATGCCGAGGGCCTTTACGTTGGAGGAAACTTGGGTACCAAGAGGAAACCAACATGGTTAGACAGGATCCTGCAGAGAGTGTCAAATTTCAGAAATGGGTTCTAAAACAGTATAACCCTACTCTAACGACTAGGCCTGCTGGGTTTATTACAGGTCAGCTAATGGTACCTGATGTGAGGGCTGGATCTGTATCCTTCTGTAGAAGACGGAGTCGAGCGTCAACCAACATGAACTCTTTCTCTATGTCACCTAGTTCCATTATCTCCATCTTCTGATCAGATGCTGAAACACAACCAACATAGCATTTCAAATATTAGTACTCCTCTATGTAAAATAGAGTGTTGTCAGCATTCCTCTATAAAATACAGGGTTGTAAGTACTCTATGTATAAAACAGGGTTGTCAGCATTCCTCTATAAATGTAAAATACTGTTAAAGGCAGTGTTTTCCAATTCTGCCACCAGTGGTAAAAATGCCAATTAGTTCTGGAAAACGGCCAGTATTCACAAAACGTTCTCATGCTCAAACCAAGATTCTGTGCTCAAGCCCAATATCTTGTGCAGTGATGAATTTATAAAAATAATTATATTTCATTAATGACATGTAAGGAATTCGGCGAGACATTGAGCCAAATACTGTTTTCAAGGTTTTGACCGTGTATCATGATTTAAGTGAGTTACAAGAAAGTTGGCTTGAGCACAGAAATCATGCTTGAGTATGAGAACAGTTTCATGAATACGAGCCCCGATTTCTGTTCTGACACTTCATTTGACATGCTACTATCCACCCAACTTTGCTGTCATTTGCAAGCTGAGGTTCTATACGCAAGTACATCTTTTTCATGTACCTATCTTCTATTTTTCACCATGAATCCTGTCATATTATGTCTGGGTACAGCGGGTTAGTCCACTACATGTTATGTCTGGGTACAGCGGGTTAGTCCACTACATGTTATGTCTGGGTACAGTGGGTTAGTCCACTACATGTTATGTCTGGGTACAGCGGGTTAGTCCACTACATGTTATGTCTGGGTACAGCGGGTTAGTCCACTACATGTTATGTCTGGGTACAGCGGGTTAGTCCACTACATGTTAAGTCTGGGTACAGCGGGTTAGTCCATTACATATTATGGTGTACATTAAAATCTTTTCATTCCTGTCAATTTGGTTTCCAAAAAGAAATCTTGAAAAATTGGTTTCCTCTGATTTCATGATACAAAAATTGTAATTTTTAAGCAATTACTGTATTTGACAATATATGGATTTGAGGCTAGCTTTTTATAATAGAAGGTTAATAGGACAACTCAACCATCAGTAAAACTACCTGCTAGTTTTTCTTCACCATCCAAGAAACGCTTTGGTGAACTTCCAGAGCCTTCCAATATAAGCTGAAAATAAAGGTTTCAGTTATTGTCTAACATCAACATTTCAAATCCATTATTAACAGTTAAACTTGTGTTAATGACATTGATAAATTGACCAATAAAATTATGTTCACAGTGTCACCTACTAATGGGTAACCAAATTTGTTTCAAAATTATGAAGAGGATGGCATTTATTTGTGATTTATTAGGGTGAATTTGGGTTCTTGTAAAGGTCCCTTCCCCTAGATGATTTCTGCTGTATTTTCATAGGCATAGGCCCCTGTGGAAAGGAGGTAGAAAAATCACTGTTTATTCATCAGGGATAATCCTGTAGGGGGCCAGGGGGCCATTGCCCCACTCAAAATTGAAATTGACCCCTCCATGTGCCATTTTGCTTTTATCTTTACATAGAATGGCCCCTCCTAATTTTGATATTGACTAAAATTTGCTGAAAATGGCCCATTGCTCTCAAATTCCAGGATTTTCCCCGATTCATTTACATTTATGGTGAGTTCATTTAGCATACTATATAGTAGTAAATAATTTCAAGGGCTACTGACAAGATGTTGCTATATATCACAAATGTGCACTTTTTTGGTCGTGTCAATTACTTTAAAATTCATTCCCTTATGCCTTACAAGGTAGAACACATACTTTATTCTGTTTCTGTACAGGTTTCACAATCCATGCATATTCTGGTTTCACAAGTCGTAATACGTTCATGGTTGCTAGGTAACACTGTGCCTGACGTTCTAGTCCTCTCTTGCCTGGTACCTCTCGTCCAAGTCTTGTGCCGTGCTCGTACATTACACGGCCAGCTGGAAAATAAAACACGTCCAATACTGAATTACATTGAACCACTTCATTAAATGCAACATTTCTGTTCAAAAGGACTCCCATAACATATTGTCTTGTTCTGGTACATCTGATCTATGATAGTTATCAAAACAGTGTTCTGCAAGTCATTCAGAAATTATTACAGACAAGAATTATAATCATTTCACCTCTGACTTTGCAATGACCTTGATATTGACAGAAGACATATATGCAACACACCATCCAATCATGATGCATTCAGTTATATATTTGGAAATTCAAGAATCTTGCTATTTAGGTCAGATATTCTATTAGAACTCAAAACCACATCTCAGGTATCCAGGTATTATATTGTTTTGTACCTTTTCTGAAGTTATTCCTGAAGATGTGGAAAGCATACAGGAGGTCATAGTAGTTATGGGTAAGTAGATCCACGGACCGGGCACGACTCTCCAGGATAGTCACAACCTGGAAAGCAAATCCAACTCATCAGAAAGTCACTTTTTCAAGGGGTTTTACAAGATCCACTTACAAATGAAATCGTTCCTTGATTTTTTTCAATTTCACATTTATATTTTTCTAAATCCGATGTCTTCAGCAAACTTCCAAAATCTTAGATATCCATCGAAGGTCCACTTTGTAAAATTGCTAGTTTGCATCACAGAATTTGTAGCTTACATGTTACTCAGCATTATGTAAGCTTCACTCAGTGCTTTGAACACTTTTTTACAATTCATTCCCATAATTTAAGATACTCCTAGATAAAATTTTAACATAAGGAATATGTTTTAAATGTGCATGACAATATTTCATTTGTTTTCATAACACGAATACAGTGTTTTCTTCCTTCATTTTACAGCAGCCTGTTCCTAAAATGAATTGGGGGGAAAAATAGAAATATTTTCATTGAAATTGGGAAAATATTTCTAATTTTTCCTTCATTTTGGGAAAATAAAGCACTTTTTTTGCAAATGGAAGCAGCCTGTATTCGGCTGTATAACGAGGCAAAATAAAAATCACTGAAATGCTGCCATGCAACATTTAAACAAATTTAAGTCATAGTTTTGTCATAGTCTTTTAGCACTAATTCTGGCATGCGTATCCAGCATTTAAGATAGAATGGGCAGGAAGTGGTATTGGAGTTTGACATGCATACCTCTTCCTCTAGGTCGATGTATGGGAAAGTTATCAATGCCTCAAGGTCACCCCGCTCACACAAGGTCACCAATAACTGTCGCAGACAATCCTTTCTCCTGTTAAATGTAAACACAGCATTAACCATTGTTCTCTCAATGGATGGACACAATAACATGAGACCCAACTTTGTACCATCTTCATTAGTTCTTTGTCAGTTCGATCTTTTCTCTTCTTTCCTCTAATCTGTTTGATCAAACTTTCACTATCAAAATACAAGATGGCTGCCTAATGTTGTTTATCCGATCACTCTCTAAAATTGCCCTGCACAGCTGGGACCAAGGGGAACCTTCATATAAAATTTAAGAAAGATCCCTCTAGTTCTTCCGGAGAAATAGCGGTAACAATACTACACTATCAAAATCCAAGATGGCTGCCTGTCGGCCATGTTGTTTATCCGATCAGTCTCAAAAAATGCCCTACACAGCTAAGGACTAAGGGGAACCTACATACAAAATTTGAGAAAGATCCCTCTAGTACTTCTTGAGAAAAAAAGATAAACTTTCACTATCAAAATCCAAGATGGCTGCCTGTCGGCCATGTTGTTTATCCGATCAGTCTCAAAAGTTGCCCTGCACAGCTATGGACTAAGGGGAACCTACATATAAAATTTGAGAAAGATCCCTCTGGTACTTCTTGAGAAATAGCGATAACAAACTTTCAATATAAAAATCCAAGATGGCTGCCTGTCGGCCATATTGTTTATCCGATCAGTCTCAAAAGTTGCCCTGCCCAGGTAAGGACCAAGGGGAACCTACATATAAAATTTGAGAAAGATCCCTCTGGTACTTCTTGAGAAATAGTGATAACAAACTTTCACAATTAAAATCCAAGGTGGCTGCCTGTCGGCCATGTTGTTTATCTGATCAGTCTCAAAAGTTGCCCTGCACAGCTAAGGACCAAGGGGAACCTACATATAAAATTTGATCCCTCAGGTACTCCTTGAGAAATACCGATAACAAGAATTGTTTAAGGACGGACGACGGACCACGGACGCAGGGTGATTTGAATAGCCCACCATCAGATGATTGATGGTGGGCTAAAAACGTATTTTTGGATCTCGTTGAAGGTGTCTCCCCCTTTCAAATCCAGTAAAGTAAAATATTAGCATACAATTCAGGTATTTAACATATCATTGAGTGGATGTAAGCCTGCATAATAAACTGTGTTATCAGGACTCGCACAACTAAATTAGCCAATCAGCAAGTGTTTCATATGATTGTCATCCCTACCTAAAATTTGTTCCAGTCAAATACAGTGCCTCTGAGTAATATAAATGGGTTATTGTGAACATATTTTACATTGACTGAAACCTACTGATATTTAACTTTTGAAAAAACGTATAGTTTTAGTGGATTTTCATATGTGATGGCAGATTGATCTGGGGTCAAAAGTCAGGGGGTGTTCCCGTCCCACTTCCCCGGTTTGACTTGTAAACTTTCGGTTGTCAAAAGCAGATGCCTATGCCATTAAACTCGCTAAAAATGCCTTTTGAAGCCTTTGTCAGGTATGTATCTATGAATCTAGACAGTTGTCATTAGTGTTGAACTTTAAATATTAAAGCTTTTAGCTCAAAAACTTAGTAATAACATATAGTAAATGATTTAGTTGTGCGAGTCCTTATCAACAATAACAAAAGTATGTATTAAAGAGAGGCTGTATATGCAGTGCTCACAGTCAAAGGGGAGATAATTACACATGCTGTACATCAAGTCTTTTCTTTATATAACATGTATCATTTAATGTTGCTAAATTAGTTTGTATACCTATGTACTCAGGTCTGGATCATATCTGCAGCAGGTGTGCATCATCAATATATCAATAGCACAGATCATCTAACGAGTAGTACACTATACACGTTATATAGTTTAATATTTACTATAAAATCACAATAGACTAAAATATGTTCTCCTGGTATATAGACCCACAAAGTGTATTCCTGCATTAAGCTATTACGGTTAAGTACAATAGTACATTTAGTAGGTCCCAGTGACAAGAGGCTGTTGTTCAGGTCTATTTTATACCATTGTTTATTACCATTTTATTAAAATAACTAGAATTATATAAAAAAAAAAGTGTGAAAATCTGTCTTTTCTACATTAATCACTCTAATAGAAATTTGTGGTATATGTGTATATTGTTTTATTCTATGTGGCAGATAGCAGTATTGCCTGTAAAAGGTTTTGTTTGAGACTTGTTTTGCCATGGTACTGCGTACACCAGTTGTGGGTAGATACCTGGAGGGGTCTGGATTGGCTATCATGGCTGAGTATGCCTCCATGTTGTGGCCTAACTCAAGCTGGTACTTGAACAGCTTAGAGTAAAGAGTGGGCTATAAAGAGAAACAATTCATGATGGCAATTTTTTCATATAAACTCAATTCGGAAAGATTTTTTTTGTATCAAACCTTCGTTTTTATACAAACATTTTTTTGTTCATTGTAGCTAGTTGGAACAATTTTTTTCCAGTTGACTAAGAAAATATAACTTTGAAGCAGATAACAAAAGCACTTTTTTTTGCACAAAGTTACCTATAACATGACAGACATTAGAATTTCCTTACTTATGAAATTGACAATTCCTGGCTAGTACAGTTTAACTTGTTTACCATGAACATATTTTATACTAGTTCCTGGCTAGTACAGTTTAAATTGTTTACCATGAACACATTGTATACTAGTTCCTGGCTAGTACAGTTTATCTTGTTTACCATACCATGATCACATTTTATACTAATTCCTGGCCAGTACAGTTTAACTTGTTTCCCATGAACACATTTTATACTAATGCCTGGCTAGTACAGTTTAACTTGTTGTCCATGAACACATTTTATACTTATTCCTGGCTAGGACAGTTTAACTTGTTTACCACGAACACATTTTATACTAATTTCTGGCTAGTACAGTTTAACTTGTTGTCCATGAACACATTTTATACTAATTCCTGGCTAGTACAGTTTAACTTGTTTACCATGAACCCATTTTATACTAATTCCTGGCTAGTATAGTTTAACTTGTTTACCATACCATGAACACATTTTATACTAATTGCTGGCTAGTACAGTTTAACTTGTTTACCATACCATGAACACTTTTTATACTAATTCCTGGCTAGTACAGTTTAACTTGTTTATCATGAACACATTTTATACTAATTCCTGGCTAGTACAGTTTAACTTGTTTACCATGAACACATTTTATACTAATTCCTGGCTAGTACAGTTTATCTTGTTTACCATACCATGAACACATTTTATACTAATTCCTGGGAGTTAGTAATATCCTTTGGCAAAGAAATGCCTTAACATCAAAATTTTAATAAAGTTTGTCACCAGTTTAATATATTTTTCAGTCCTATAGATATATATCTTTATAAAATCTTTAACTCTGTCATAATGAATAAGCTAAAACAATTTATAATTTGTTTACTATTTGATCCCTTGAAATCTTTACAGTTAATATAGCTAGTGGTACGACAGAGAATGTATTACTTTACAAAAATATAACTTGTAACTTAAACAAAAATTGCTAGTGGTTTATTTCCAGACAGAAGTCTACTATCAGTGAGAAAATCCTCTGTTATCTGTTACTTACCATGTTAGGGTCGTCATCATCAGCTATACTAATTCCTGTTTTGGCAAGAGAGACAACCATATCAGGAGCTCCAAATTCTTCAAATTGTTTTAACACCTATTGCACAAAAAGTGATACTGTCAATGTGATTAAAAAAGGAAATGGTGACATTTAGCCAAGTACAATTCCATTTTTTTTTATTACAGTCTTTTATCCTTTTTTGTTCAATTTATAAGCTTTTGTAGTAACATACTTGCGTTTTCTAACTAAAAGTTTTTGAATATAGAAGTGGTTAAAAACATTATGATGATTTGATATAATCGAGGCACTTTGTAGTTCTTAAACATTTCCATAACTTCTGTTTCTTATATAGCTTGCCATACTAATTTTCAAAGCTATGAAATAATATGTTCTAAAATGTTGATATTACCAAACATAACCAAGTTATTTCTCCATTAATGTGCTGTAAAATGAAATATTATGCACAAAATTGAAGAATGCTATGCTGTAACACCAGTTGTGTAATTCCATACCTTAAGGTAGTACAGGACCTCCAGGCGTTTACTGTTTGTTTCCTCTGTCTGTAGAAGTTTCTGCCTCAGGAAGCTCTCAGTGGCAACTCCTTTCTTTGCTGCGGTGAAACACTGACCAGCTTTTTGAGGCTCACTGCCAACGAAACACTTCTATTTAGAGACGGTTAAAGAAGGTATTAAGCAGGATATTAAAGTTCCTTCTCCCCCCCCCCCTTTTTTGGGAGGCGGTATGAAGGGATACAGTGATGGGTAATAGGAAAGGAATATACACATTTATGGTAAATATCATTGACAGGAAATAAAATTTTATTACAGTGTACTAACTCTACCTAAAATCAGACTGTAATCAGTCTACCTGTAATCTGGTTGTGTTTAAGTTCTACCTGTAATCAGGCTGGACACTAATTCTATATTGAAGCTGCTTTAATTATACTTACTCAAAGTGCAGGTAACATAGCCCCAACATGAACCTACGAGAGGAGACATGCCACTCGCACCAGGAGCTTAGCAGACGTACATACTCCTGGAGCTGGAGGTATTGACAACTCCCTACCAAGAACTCTGGGAACACAAAGTGGGGGCTCATTGGCCAGCTAAGCAGGGTCAAGGATAAAACTAGTTTACATTTACGAAACATATGTGTGCCCTAGTATCAATTTTGATGAAAATGAAGTTAAATGCAAAATTTAACACCAGTCAGTGAAGCAGAAAAGATGTCACAGTGAGCTATTTTAGGCTCCTGGGAGGTAAAATCCATAGAGTTCACAATTTTGGTTTGTCTTTGGACATGCAAGCTTCCAGCAAAATTTTATTGGGATTGATTCTCTGGATTTTGAGAAGTCAAAAATGTAAATTGCATAAGGACAGACAACACATGACCAACAGTCTTGGAGAAATGTTTGAATGAGTGTGTGTTGCATACCATCATCAGTGGTTGCAATGTACATTTCTATTCTTATACTGATGTTAACAATAACACTTAGAATTTTACTATTCTTTTCTGGATGGTTTCTTTTTGTTCATTATTTAGTTTAAACAAACTATTTTACTAAACAATGGAACAGCCATTTTTGCAAAACAACACCCAAAAAATTGTTTGCTTCCTGAAATCATATTATCAAACGACTAAAACATTGGCTGGGAGAATGATTGAAAGATACCAGTATCTAGCACAGGGAAAAATCACAAAGCTATAGAAACATCTACCTACTAACTCATCTTTTATCCAAGCATGTTACAGGAATATCACATTTGTATGCGCAAAGTAAAAATCAGTTTATACAGCGTTAACGTTTTCATCAGCAGAAAGGATACATAAGCCGGGACACAAAGTTGGTGAGGCCTAGGATGCCCAAAGTCCAGGTAGCACAGGGTTCATTCTCCATCAGACGTGTCTGGGCAAGCATTTGTCGTGCCTGTGTCCCACCTACAGCCTGGATAAATAGCTCTGCCACACCCATATTCTGCAGACCTGGCAACATAATGAGCAACAAGTTTCACCTTCTGTTACAATTTTTTGTACAGTAGCTACTAAACTTTGATCTCTAACAATTTGCTTTCATTTCATCAAATTCACCAGATTCAGCCCCAAATCAACAAACATGTCACTATCCTGTTCAATGCTCCGATACAATTTCAAACCCAATGAAGTCAAAAAGGTTACAATCAGCAGAAGATCTATGTAACAGTACCATTGCTAATGGTTCAGTAGACATTGCGACCACTGTTAAGAGGCCTAGTAGGCCTGTATCACTCACAAGTTATTGTTTTTTTGTTTTGTTTTTTAATTTATATAAAAAAAGTTATACTAAATAAAAACAATCAAGCTGCTACAAATGATTGATATGACCACAGAGCTTGACCACTCACTGGTTCGCTGCTGGCTGGAGAGTCCTGACCCATCATTGATCTCCAGGGATGCCAGCTGTCTCACATTAAATTCTCTGAAAAATAGCAAGGTTTAATATTGTTAAATGGGATACTTTTCCTTTGCTAAACATTGTTGTGTTTTAAATCTAGAATGTCCGTATGTATAGATGTCTCTATTACAATTCAAATCATAACGCTAATTGTTTGACAAATTTAAATAGTACTGGTAAACTTGGCCTTGACCTTGGAACTCTGAAATAAGGATTCCTTTGATGTTTTCTCATACTTGATCATTGGTCAAAATCTGTTTAGAAATGAAGTTGCTAGAGTGACATGTCAGAATGGAACAGAACAGGACAAGAGGGACACAGGTAACAAACACTATATGCCCCCATAAAACGCCGGGGGAATAAAATCACATTTGCAGTACCAAATTTCCCTCCTTTATTAGATCTGGCTTACAGTATCCGTTTAAAAACCCCAATGAAAAAGTTTGATTTCAGACTCTTAAAAACATTCAGATTTATAATTTAGGTTGAAATACTGATAGATACACACGTCAGCATTACTCGTCATTGAGTAATCAATTAGCATTGTTTAACGATGACATGATGTAAGCTTTTTAAAGGCATAGGATGACACACACATGATGAGCCCTACACCAGTAGATTTATAAATACTGTGGCTTACTGTATACATCAGAACATAAATTTACATTTCATCAACATGTCTGCAGAATGTGATACATAACCTCTTAGAAGATACTAAAATTCTAGATTGAGGTTTCACACAAATCTTCAAGTAACTAAAGATCACATACAAATATGTAATCAACAGTACTACATTATTTTAGAAAAGAGTTATCTGTCAAGAAGATTTCATTAACTTTAATCAATACTTCTATGTAAAAGAAACCTGTGTAATCAAAAAGCCTGTCCACTCAACCTAAATATTGACACGACAGTGTTTGGTTTAGACAGGTTCCACTGTGCAGACAGTAAGGTAGGACACTTACAAGGCACTGGTTTGACTAGGCGTTGTAACAGACTCAGCAACCCACTTGAGAAGCATATAGGACTGGAGCAGTGTAAGGGTGTGGGGGATAAGATCGAGGCGTAGACGGTCTGTAACATCAGGAGTTATACCATCCTAAACAAAAACGAAGACAAGAATATAGAACAAAAATAAAGACAAGAATGTAAAACAAAAATAAAGACAATGATAAGGATTTACATAACACCACTTTTCCAAGTTTAGTAAAATATGACAAATGGGGTCGGAGAAACTACTAGTGTCAAACTTTCTAAATATATAAAATGTTACCTTGAAGTTAAAGAGTGTGGACTAATATATCCCATTGTGTGGGATGTTGGGTAGTTAGGAATAATTGTTCAGGTAAATTTATGGTAACTGTTACATTCACAATATCCTTTCATGGGCATCAATTCCTGGATAAACATCAACCCTACTTACTTTCATCACATTAAAATGGCTATGGTCAATTTTATGACTGTAAGTTTATATACAGTATATATTTTCCTTTCATATAATAACAAGGGCAGCAGTTTTTAAGTTCATCTACCTAATTTATGTTTATGAAGTCATCGCTGTATGGATATTTTTCATGGTATTTATTTTTTCAGCTATAACATTTTAGTGGTTGCTATTTTTTGGGGGTTAAATTGAAAGCGCTAGAATAAGTTACCTCTAAGTATGAAATCAATGTATTCCTACATGTAGTGAGATAACAGTAGTGCTAAATAGTGAATTCTTTAACTTGGAAAATTTTAACAGATATGCAGAAATATGAGCGCGCTAGTACAAGTATGTTTACAGTACCTAACTTTTCTAACCATAGGTTATTTTCTACCTAAATGTTACAGCAGTCGATACCTAAATGAATTGTGGAAATATAGCACTTTTTTATTGAAATTGCAAAGATGTGCCTGACTTTTCTCTACATTTGGGAAAATAAAGTACTTTTTTGCTAAGGGAAGAAGCCTGTTTCGGCCGTAAATTGGGCCAAAAGAATCACTGAAGGATCGAAGGGCCAAGTGAGCTAGAAATGACTGATCTTACTATTGTCCTGTTCATACACTTGAGTCGCAAGAATATTTTTATCACTTGAATATTCATGAAAAAGAAACAAGTCATCAATACCCCACACTCGCAGTGCTAAAGTCATCAATACCCAACACTCGCAGTGTTAAAATCATCAAAACATGAAGGGTAAAACAAAGGTCAAAATCGGCATCCGCAATATTCATTCAGTAGAGCAACCCTAGATGCACAATTGATGCAAGTATGATCAACATAGCACTTGTAGTAGGCAAGCTATAGATGAAAACATTCTTCTTAACCGTGTGCATGGATGGATGCATGGACGGACCCCATTTCTATATCCCTTGCCTACTCCTTGAACGGGGGATAAAAACACCCTGAATTAGCTTGACTAAGATTAATCTGATCTCCCAGCTGACAGTCTGCCTTCTGAACAATTAAGTTCACTTACCCGATCTCCCAACTGACAGGCCGCCTCCTGAACAATTAGATTCACTTACCCGATCTCCCAGCTGACAGGCCGCCTCCTGTAGGATTAGCAGATCCCTAAGGACAGATAACCTAGTGACAGAGATCTGCTGTAGAGTGGCAGAGAGGATTTCCACAGCAGTACCACTTGTGAATAGTTGACCACATGAAAGCTGGGGGTCAGTGTTCTCACCTGTAGGAGGAAACATGCTGTATTTGTATATCAGGCATAACATTTTATATTGTAGAAATATTTCTATTTTAGATTTAGATTTTAAGGTATCTCAACATGTGATAATTGTCTCCATATACCTTTGGACAATTTCTCTGTACGACGAAAATTGTTGTGTTGATTAACCATTGTGAGAGGGAAGACATAAACAAAATATAGATTTGTGCCTGCACGCCAGCTTGATTACACCTTATTTTTATTTGACTGTAAACAACCCTGACCTTTGACTTTGTGACCTAAAGACAAAAAGGCTTCTTTCCATCCTGTTGGGGCATAATTCACCCAAATTTAGTTTATAAAGGATCAAATGTTCTAAAGCTGTCATCTGGAAATAATTTGTTTTGTACAAATGAGACATATGAGGGTAGAAAGACAGGATGATGACTATACACTCCACAATTTTGGTGTTGGTTTTTGGGAGCATACAAAATTCCCCCTAAACCAAGCACAGAGAAGTTGTATACAACGTTCCCCCTAAACCAAGCACAGAGAAGTTGTATACAAAGTTCCCCTAAACCAAGCACAGAGAAGTTGTATACAACGTTCCCCCTAAACCAAGCACAGAGAAGTTGTATACAAAGTTCCCCCTAAACCAAGCACAGAGAAGTTGTATACAAAGTTCCAGTTCCAAGCTCCTGTCTATGACAGGTGTTAAAAATGAATAGTGAGAAATGTACGATAGCAATAACTGACCATCATCCATGGGTGTGTCATCCAGGTCATCCTGTGTGGTAAGGTCGGTAGCATCTAGTAAGATCTGGACACTGTCTGGCAGGTTTATGATGCTCTGGATCCGGGCCCCAAGTGAGGCCATAGAAGCTGATCCTTCTAGCAAACTGATACAGAAAATTTTGATTAAACTAAAGTCCTCATTTGATCTAATTGCAGTAAGTTGTAAAGTAAACAAAATGAAATCCAGTCAACAACTCATAAAAGAATCTGGTAGCGTTATGAAACTTTAAAAGGGTTATATTTTTACGATTTGAAACTTTAAAAGGGTTATATTTTTACGATTTATCGTAAGACTACAAAACTGTGACATTTCACTGGCGACATCTTACCCTTCCTCGGTGAATAGTTCCTCAACCATGTGATTTGCCAGTGTACGAATCTCCTCCTGTGACACTAGACAGTAGTCAAATTGTGCCCCTGCCTCGTCTGTGACCTTAGACTTTATCAGCTCTAGGCAGCGACCCAGCATTTCAACATCAAATTTCAGGGCATGATCTATACAGGAACAAAACATATCAGATATCGTTCATCAAATCGCGATAAATAAAATTAATACTCTTTGATGCCCAACACACTAAAACAATAGACTAAGCACTGAATTAAAAATAATCTTTTTACTAAAACAAAAAAGTTCAGTGTGTTTTAACTATACGTGACCTTGACCCTATCACAGATGAAGCACTGACCTAACTCCTGCTGGTCAGTCCACTCGCCACTTCCAAGACACAGCTCTTCAATTCTGTCACACTGTCGAATGTAGGTCACACAGCCCTTGAAAAAATCAAGAAACATTCAATTATACATACATTTACTAGTATGTCACATGGTGTAAACTATAGTGAAAGCTCACTTACTAGAACTTACATTACCCAAATTCCCCATTTGTCGATTAGTTTGCTTGGTCCCAACTGTGTGCTTATATATTCTTTGTAATTTAATCTTAAACTGTTATTGCTCTAATACCATAAAGATTTATCCTCCGCCACCCAAACCTTAGTATTTCACCTATCCATTCCAAACTTCTGTATGCCATGGACAGGCCTTGAGGCACAGACTGCGGCCAATGGGTTTACACAGGTGTTGGCCGCAAGTCAGATGATAAGACAGCAGTATCAGTAAGTACCTGAACTGTTACCCTAGTGTAGGTGCATTATCATTTTATGTGCATATCTATTATTTCCAGACAATGTTTGACATGGTAATATTAAGTGGATCAAATAGCGAACTCTCGACCATCTTTTAAGATACTCAAACTTGAATATGTTATGATTGTTAATACTTTTATTAACTTTATCATAGCAGGGGTTAAAGATTTTTTAAATTTTAGAAAAAAGAAAAATCAAAGATTTCCTCAAGTATTGATATTTTGTAAAATTAATGTAGCCAAAACCAGAATGGTGGACTGTCTAAATGACAAGTAGAGTAAATAAACAGTTTCTTAAATTTACTTCTTTTCTTAATACCAATGGATATGTTTTCATTGATGAGCAATTCTATCTTATTAAGTTTTTCATCATTAGTAAACTTTCTTTTTACTACTACATGTATCATCTGTATCCCTGATATTTGCAGTGCTTATGCTGTATGTCGTCCAACCCAAAATTGAACATGCACAACTAAAGAGAACTACCTTGAGAAATTTGAAACCTGAACCCCCAGATTAGTATCTAGAAACCACATTTTTATATCTGTGCCTTGGAACAATGTCAAGAAACTACCTTTTTAGAACCTGTACCTAGAGCTGATCTAGACACCTACCTTTTTAGATCCTGTACCCATAGCAGATCTAGACACCTACCTTTTTAGATCCTGTACCCAGAGCAGAAATAGACACCTACCTTTTTAGAACCTGTACCCAGAGCAGATCTAGACACCTACCTTTTTAGAACCTGTTCCCAGAGCAGGTTGAGACACCTACCTTTTTAGAACCTGTACCCAGAGCAGATCTAGACACCTACCTTTTTAGAACCTTTTCCCAGATCAGGTCTAGACACCCTACCTTTTTAGATCCTGTACCCAGAGCAGATCTAGACACCTTCCTTTTTAGAACCTGTACCCAGAGCAGATCTATACACCTACCTTTTTAGATCCTGTACCCAGGGCAGATCTAGACACCGACCTTTTTAGAACCTGTACCCAGAGCAGATCTAGACCCCTACCTTTTTAGATCCTGTACCCAGAGCAGAAATAGACACCTACCTTTTTAGAACCTGTACCACACCTACCTTTTTAGAACCTGTACCCAGACCAGATCTAGACACCTCCCTTTTTAGAACCTGTACCCAGAGCAGATCTAGCCACCTACCTTTTTAGATCCTGTACCCAGAGCAGATCTAGACACCTACCTTTTTAGAACCTGTACCCAGAGCAGATCTATACACCTACCTTTTTAGAACATGTACCCAGAGCAGATCTATACACCTACCTTTTTAGATCCTGTACCCAGAGCAGATCTAGACATCTACCTTTTTAGAACCTGTACCCAGAGCAGATCTAGACACCTACCTTTTTAGATCCTGTACCCAGAGCAGATCTAGACACCTACCTTTTTAGATCCTGTACCCAGAGCAGATCTAGACACCTACCTTTTTAGAACCTGTACCCAGAGCAGAAATAGACACCTACCTTTTTAGAACCTGTACCCAGAGCAGGTCGAGACACCTACCTTTTTAGAACCTGTACCCAGAGCAGATCTAGACACCTACCTTTTTAGAACCTGTACCCAGAGCAGATCTAGACACCTACCTTTTTAGATCCTGTACCCAGAGCAGATCTAGACACCTACCTTTTTAGAACCTGTACCCAGAGCAGATCTAGACACCTACCTTTTTAGAACCTGTACCCAGAGCAGGTCTAGACACCTACCTTTTTAGAACCTGTTCCCAGAGCAGATCTAGACACCTACCTTTTTGATGAGGCAAACTAATCCTGTGACTGGATCAGTCAGCAGTCCCTTCATTTTAGCTCCGACCTTAAACAGACAAAAAAATAATCTGGTACAGCATATGGAACATTCATTCCAAAGGATATCTTTAATACTTTCTATGGAAGTAGTAAATAATGTGAATAATTTGTGAGCTTGTGTCTCCTGTTGGAGTCCTTGGTAAAGTCCAACGCTACTTGCAGAGATCATGAATAGGATTTATTGCTTGTCTAGCAGGAAACTACAGTGCTTTCCAGTGCTTTCCATCAGCTTTGATCATCAAGTCATCAACAAATGTGTTATTCTATGATGAGTATATATAGTGGTATCCTATACAATAATAACATGAATCTTGTGATTATTTAGATATACCAACAATAGGGGGTATCATGAAGGAGGGGACAGTGTTATCTCTATTTTGAAATGTATTGAAGATAATTGTAATTTTTTATAGAGTTGTTCTCTTTACTATGAAGTCCCTGACCTCTTGATACTGGACGCAGCAGGAGTGGAACTTTGTCCACTGGTCAAGTTGGATCTGGTAGTACTCCTCCTCCGCAAGCTCATTGGACGCTGCAGAATTTCGGATCTATGTGTATAGAGAAAAAAAACCTGTATCAAATATGTTTTCTTCCCTTTTTAATGAAAGCCATGCAGTCTGTTAGTCATATAGTTTGCCAAAATATTTATAGGTCTTTATTGAAGAATCTTGAAAAATGAATTCATGATATGAGCTAAATGTTTTTTGTGAGTTTAGTTGGTGACTTGAGTAAATCTACTTACAGCATCCTCTACTGCTAGAGTTACCTCCTCCTTGAGCGTATTCACTTGTAGCGTCATCTCCCCAGTAACAGTCATGTCCAGAGAACGACGGTACACCTGAAACACCAGAAAATCAATTCTGCTCGATACAATTTTCTTTGAACTTTGACCTTTTTAGTAAAAAATATCATGGGTGTACTTTGATTTGAACTTGCTGGCTTAGGCATTAATGTATCAGTTAAATTTCTTGCACCTTTAATATGTCTTTTGAACAATTCTGACAATTTTTATGGCAATCCATACATTTCTTCATGATGCGATCTGTTAAGTCAAAAAAAGCAACTGAAAGCAAAATTCAAGACAGATAAAGTAAGACTTACATTGAGTGCCTTCCTAATATCCTGAACATTAAAGCGTCGGGGATGGAAGATACGGGCCAAGTAGACCTCTCGAGGGTCAGCATGGCGAGGGACAATGATGTCACTATTCTCTGGAGGATGCAAGATCACCTCACTCCAATTATCTCCCCTTAAATGGCCTCTGAAGACACACACACAGATATAACCCATGTAAAACAGAAATAACAGAATACTTCAGATTTTTCAAGTCGTCTTGCTGAAGCAGCATAATGCCTTATCATATAAGCATTATTTTGATTGATATGTCAATATTAGAATAGTCTGATTATCACATTTCAGCTACAATAAGCAATCTAACAATTTTGGATATTTAACAAACAATATTTTTCCAAATTTTATGTTTGAATATAAGGTTTTAGAAACCACTAGTCTACAGAAAAAAATGGTCTACAACGACAACATGTTCATAGAAACAGCATATAATCAGTGACTGCTCATCAGTGCAATCAATCTACAAATACGTGTAATGATGCTGCACCAGGTACCTACTCTGTCATGCTTCGGACCCTGGCCACGCTTTCCCCGGTCTGGTTTGTCCAGAGTGTCCATAGGTGTTCATCAGTCACAGAATAATCCACCAAATCTTCCTACAACCAGGAACAAACATCAACTTATACTTACTAATGCACTTCTTTTTCTGTATCTATCTTTACTCATTTTTTAGGGAAGTTAGATACTAGAGAATGTCTGTTAAACATACATTTGAAGCTAGGTAAATGCAAACTAAAGTCAGCACCATTTTTGGGTATAGCTCCTGGCGGACCTGCAAACGTTTATGCAGGCCTTGCAAGGCATCAGATTACTAGGTCAGACCTTATTTAATAAACGAACAACTTTGGTCCAACGGGTTAAACCTTTTGGATCGCAATAAACGAATGCCACCCTAGTCAGGGATTAATGCAGGAATGGAAAGTTAGTACCTTTTTTTTTTTTTAAAGGGGGAAATATGAAAGCGGGCATGGATGACATCTGTGATTTTTGGTTCTCCCTGTTAATTATAGACGCTTTGAATCATATACTGTAAACAAGGCCAGCCATAAACAGTGTCGTAAAATATCGACAGTACCAACATGAACACATGGAAAATGAAATTAATCACTTGGTTGTCAAACTGATGGAAAATAAAAACAATATAGAACCATGACAGATATTCATGTGGTAGTATTTTAGTTACCAGTGGGGGATTTTTTAACTGAAATACAGGAAAATAAAGCCAAAATTGGAGAGGAGAATTGGCCTACATTTGGCCATAAAAGGCCTGTATATATATCCATGCTATTAGCAGTACAACATTTCAGTTTGAGATGAAACATTTAATAAGATACTAATGTGATATATATGCAGAATTTAACTGACACTGATACATAACAGCACTAGTTAGATATCAACTAGCATTCAATAATAATTCAAATACTAACATAACCTATATATACCGCAAAGTTCTACATAAGGAGTGCTGGATCACCTTTATTTATTAAATATCAACACTATAACAGACATGGACGACAATGCTGAGGAGACAATATAAGCCCCTATTCTATGAATAGGCAAGTTAAAAATTGTATGTTTTAATAAGAACTTAGTTTGAGATTTGAATTATATTGTATACTGAAAAATAGAGATACACCGAAGAATGAATAATTTCTTTCTATAACACACGACTTCCTGAATACTTACAGGAGAGCCAAACACAGTCGCGTTGTGGTAAACCTCAAGGCGCCCATTCACCATATGGGGTTGTACAAAGCAAAACTGAAATAAACAAACCTTTCCCATGAAGCAAATCTAAATCATGTTTAAATATGCCTCCATTTGAAGCCATACCTTAATACCAGGGACTTATTATATATAATAAGAAACCCAATGCTTTTCTAAATTGTAGTAAAATATTAATTTCTGAATAAATTGGCATCATTAAAAAACACTTCATAATGATTAAGAAAAAGTACAGCTAAAATTTCCAAATAATCCCTCTAACTAGTTATTGGTAATTACCTGATTTCTGTCTGGGAAGTTTAAATAAACACAGAGCTTCAAATCAATAGTATCACTGCTCAAAACTTTCTTGACTGTATGTCCACTCCCTGAAACAAAAATAATATTTATTTCATTTTTATGGTTTCATGTTTCCTTTTTTATTTTTTTATTTTTTAAAAACAGGGGTTATTATAAGGCAACAAAAAAGCGTAACTTTTCCCCGGTGACATAGTCCACGGTTTAGTCGTAGCTGTGAAGTACTTTACTAGGTATGACGTACCTGTCACGGGCTGAACATGCTGAAGATCAGGACAACACTCAAGCAGGTTGTAAGCCAGGATACACTCTCGAGTCTAGGGATAAACAAGTTGACAAGGACAGCATCATAATCATGGAAAACCTTGCGATAATTGATCAATTAAAATGTGGAAAGATGAATTTCAGTACAAATCACTACACACAATCTGATAGTTACTTTGCAAATCTTCCCATTAAATCAACACAAATGATTGTAAAAATGAATTTCAAACAAAATCGAATGAAATGCTTAGAACCATTCTCCAGATGTTTTCCACTGTGACAGATGTGATAATTAGATAGTTCAGTAGATCACCAAGTTGTTTCTTTCTGCTTATCACACATATTTTTTACACAAAAAAATAAGACTGTTAAGAATATATTTAGCAGGTTTATACCTTTGTTGACCATATTCTCAATTTGTGGTCCCTGCAAACTGCGAAGATGTAGGCATCCCCATGGAACATTTGTATGACCATACTAGTAGCAGAGTCTGTGGCCTCTTGTCCAGTCCTGTACATGGTGAAGGGGTTTATTATAATATTTTTCCAATACTCAAAGTCTGCTTTTTTCTCTACTACAGAAGGGATTCCAGTCTCCAGCGATGTGTTTGACAAAGACATAAATGTATTTATTTTTATTTTTTTATTTCAGTACATTTTGATAAATCATTAGAAGTAAATGTACAAAGTACAAGGGAAAAGACATCCTATATACGATGGTGTATATGTTCATTGACATCCGGTGGCGTATATGTTCATTGACATCTGATGGTGTATATGTTCATTTACATCTGTGGTGTATATGTTCATGGACATCCGATGGTGTATATGTTCATTGAGATCTGATGGTGTATATGATTATTGACATCCGATGGGGTATATGTTCATTGACATATGATGGTGTATATTTTCATTGACATCCGTGGTGTAAATGTTCATTAACATCCGATGGTGTATATGTCCATTGACATCCGTGGTGGATATGTTCATTGACATATGATGGTGTATATTTTCATTGACATCCGTGGTGGATATGTTCATTGACATCTCATGGTGTATATGTTCATTGACATCTGATGGTGTATATGTTTATTGACATCCGATGGTGTATATGTTCAATGAAGTTCAGCATACCCCAGTTGATGAAAACCTCAATGGAGTTCACTAGTCCAGCCATCAGAATAATCAAAATTCAAAGGAGATGACCAGACAACATCAAATGGGGAGTCTCATTTAGGTCAACCATGATCCAGTTGCCCTGTTTTGGCCCATTTGATACTGGCTGGTCATTGTTTCCTTTGAATTTTGATAAATCCAAAGGTTAGGACATATCATATATCCACAAACTGGGATAACAAGCAATAAGTTTTAATGATTGTGTCTGAAGACATTACTTCTTGCAGAAATTGATCAGAAAAAGTCTTGACTTTGTTGGAATTTAAATATATTGAAATGCCATTTTTTTTAAAGTTATATACATATATTTTGTCCTTTGGCCCTGTTTAACACACGTGAGAAAAGTTTAAAGGTGAAATATGACTTTACAAAATCCACTCTTATTAAATAATACAGGTGTTAGCGAATTCTATTTCTATAGTACATAACAAGAGACCTTGTGTCTTCAATTAATACTTTAACACATAATTATGATAGCTCTCAGATTTTAGAGCATTATCAAACTTAAACAGCTGGATGTATTGATCATTTGTACCACCATATAGGGAATATTCAATAGAAACCTATATTCAGAAACTGTAATAACTGCAATAAAATTCAGTGCAAATAATTTGAAAGAAAAAAGGACTGAAATAAGATTACTGCTAAACTATATTTGTTTATACATGTAGTAGTATAGATTTACCTGATGAGGCCACTAAACAATTTCTGCATCATAGAAGACTGGCGCAGATCAAACTGTTGAACAACTCCTTCAAGAGAGAAAGTAAATAACTAGTGTACACATATAGCTGTACCGTTTCCTCATACAATAGTAGAGTTTAATCACTGATGTTAAATGCTTTACTGTTAAGGTTCCTCCTCCAATTCAGTAAAGAATAAAGACTTATTCTACAAACAAATCTTTAGCTGTTCTTGGATAGGAATCTATCATGAAAACTTTGAACATTTGAATTAAACTATAAATAATCGTTTGAAAATTAATAAACTTTACAATTATGTGATCTATATTGTAAAAGTTCTCATCACACTTTTCTTATATGGACATTTGAAACTTCTGCTGGAAAATACTGCTTCAAATTCCCAGGTAAAGACATTATCTATATGTTTGTTTTGAAGTTGTTTAAAATAGAATTGTACAATGGTTTAAATATTTCTAGATCTATTTTCTACTATACAAATAGCATAAGATTTCTAGTTTCATCATAAAGCCTAGACACAAATTACAGACCATATGATGACCTGATTAGCACTGTACCTTGGACCTGAGGGGGTGGCATCTTAATCAGTAGGATGTTTCCAGTGTTACTGGAAAATGAAAACAGTGCATCGCCCTCGTTGTTCAGGTAGGTGGCAGCACTGTGTAAGTGGGAGGTCACACTGCCACCTGGGTTCAACATATGCATGTTTTTTGAGTCGGCTGCCGTCATCAAGGAGGCATCATAGAAAATAGACTGTACAACTTGATCTGATGAACAGCCAATATCCTATAAATATACAAACAATCAATATGATCTTTTGTCTTCAATATAAACTACAGCTGTAAGTTTCCGACTGTTCCAGACTTACTAATATTCCCTGCTCATACAAAAATGAATTTCAGTAAAGGGGGATTAAAAATAGTTGAAACAAAAATAAATATCAATGATTGCAAAGCACACCAGCAGTAGTCATTGCATGATGAGTGAGTACCGAAAATTACCGAAGCGAAATCAACCGTGGGTATCCGACAATGTGTTCAAACCAACTTTCTTGTTACTCGCTAAAATCATGTGACATGGTTAAAAAGTCATGTTAAAATACTGAACGGAATATTCAACCGTGAAACTAAACCACATTTTGGGAAAATACAGCACTATTTTCTTTTTATAATGAATTGTTCAAATAATCTTATACCTTTCTGAGCAATTACAATATCCATGTACTAATTAACTCTAAAGTCTTTGATGAACATTTTTTTTTACTCATGTCCTAAAATAGAAACAGACAGATGGACCAAATCCACGATATATGTACCAGTACATCTCCCCGATATATGTACCAGTACATCTCCCCGATAAATGTACAAGTAAATCTCCTTGATATATGTACCAGTACATCTCCCCGATATATGTACAGTACATCTCCCCGATATATGTACCAGTACATCTCCCCGATATGTGTACCAGTACATCTCCCCGATATGTGTACCAGTACATCTCCCCGATATATGTACCAGTACATCTCCCCGATATATGTACCAGTACATCTCCCCGATATCTGTACAATGTACCAGTACATCTCCCCGATATATGTACCAGAACATCTCCCTGATATATGTACCAGTACATCACCCTGACATATGTACCAGTGCATCTCCCTGATATATGTACCAGAACATCTCCCTGATATATGTACCAGTACATCTCCCCAATATATGTACCAGTACATTTCCCCGATATATGTACCAGTACATCTCCCCGATATATGTACCAGTACATCTCCCCGATATATGTACCAGTACATCTCCCCGATATATGTACCAGTACATCTCCCCGATATATGTACCAGTACATCTCCCCGATATATGTACCAGTACATCTCCCCGATATATGTACCAGTACATCTCCCCGATATATGTACCAGTACATCTCCCCGATATATGTACCAGTACATCTCCCCGATATATGTACCAGTACATCTCCCCGATATATGTACCAGTACATCTCCCCGATATATGTACCAGTACATCTCCCCGATATATGTACCAGTACATCTCCCCGATATATGTACCAGTACATCTCCCCGATATATGTACCAGTACATCTCCCCGATATATGTACCAGTACATCTCCCCGATATATGTACCAGTACATCTCCCCGATATATGTACCAGTACATCTCCCCGATATATGTACCAGTACATCTCCCCGATATATGTACCAGTACATCTCCCCGATATATGTACCAGTACATCTCCCCGATATATGTACCAGTACATCTCCCCGATATATGTACCAGTACATCTCCCCGATATATGTACCAGTACATCTCCCCGATATATGTACCAGTACATCTCCCCGATATATGTACCAGTACATCTCCCCGATATATGTACCAGTACATCTCCCCGATATATGTACCAGTACATCTCCCCGATATATGTACCAGTACATCTCCCCGATATATGTACCAGTACATCTCCCCGATATATGTACCAGTACATCTCCCCGATATATGTACCAGTACATCTCCCCGATATATGTACCAGTACATCTCCCCGATATATGTACCAGTACATCTCCCCGATATATGTACCAGTACATCTCCCCGATATATGTACCAGTACATCTCCCCGATATATGTACCAGTACATCTCCCCGATATATGTACCAGTACATCTCCCCGATATATGTACCAGTACATCTCCCCGATATATGTACCAGTACATCTCCCCGATATATGTACCAGTACATCTCCCCGATATATGTACCAGTACATCTCCCCGATATATGTACCAGTACATCTCCCCGATATATGTACCAGTACATCTCCCCGATATATGTACCAGTACATCTCCCCGATATATGTACCAGTACATCTCCCCGATATATGTACCAGTACATCTCCCCGATATATGTACCAGTACATCTCCCCGATATATGTACCAGTACATCTCCCCGATATATGTACCAGTACATCTCCCCGATATATGTACCAGTACATCTCCCCGATATATGTACCAGTACATCTCCCCGATATATGTACCAGTACATCTCCCCGATATATGTACCAGTACATCTCCCCGATATATGTACCAGTACATCTCCCCGATATATGTACCAGTACATCTCCCCGATATATGTACCAGTACATCTCCCCGATATATGTACCAGTACATCTCCCCGATATATGTACCAGTACATCTCCCCGATATATGTACCAGTACATCTCCCCGATATATGTACCAGTACATCTCCCCGATATATGTACCAGTACATCTCCCCGATATATGTACCAGTACATCTCCCCGATATATGTACCAGTACATCTCCCCGATATATGTACCAGTACATCTCCCCGATATATGTACCAGTACATCTCCCCGATATATGTACCAGTACATCTCCCCGATATATGTACCAGTACATCTCCCCGATATATGTACCAGTACATCTCCCCGATATATGTACCAGTACATCTCCCCGATATATGTACCAGTACATCTCCCCGATATATGTACCAGTACATCTCCCCGATATATGTACCAGTACATCTCCCCGATATATGTACCAGTACATCTCCCCGATATATGTACCAGTACATCTCCCCGATATATGTACCAGTACATCTCCCCGATATATGTACCAGTACATCTCCCCGATATATGTACCAGTACATCTCCCCGATATATGTACCAGTACATCTCCCCGATATATGTACCAGTACATCTCCCCGATATATGTACCAGTACATCTCCCCGATATATGTACCAGTACATCTCCCCGATATATGTACCAGTACATCTCCCCGATATATGTACCAGTACATCTCCCCGATATATGTACCAGTACATCTCCCCGATATATGTACCAGTACATCTCCCCGATATATGTACCAGTACATCTCCCCGATATATGTACCAGTACATCTCCCCGATATATGTACCAGTACATCTCCCCGATATATGTACCAGTACATCTCCCCGATATATGTACCAGTACATCTCCCCGATATATGTACCAGTACATCTCCCCGATATATGTACCAGTACATCTCCCCGATATATGTACCAGTACATCTCCCCGATATATGTACCAGTACATCTCCCCGATATATGTACCAGAACATCTCCCTGATATATGTACCAGTACATCACCCTGACATATGTACCAGTACATCTCCCCGATATATGTACAATGTACCAGTACATTTCCCCGATATATGTACCAGTACATCTCCCTGATATATGTACCAGTACATCTCCCTGATATATGCACCAGTACATCTCCCCGATATATGTACCAGTACATTTCCCCGATATATGTGCCAGTACATCTCCCTGATATATGTACCAGTACATCTCTCTGATATATGTACCAGTACATCTCCCCGATATATGTACAAGTACATCTCCCTGATATATGTACCAGTACATCTCCCCGATATATGTACCAGTACATCTCCCCGATATATGTACCAGTACATCTCCCCGATATTTGTACCAGAACATCTCCGTAATTTTGTTGCAAGGGTTATAAAATGAACAGTTAAAAACTGGGAGGTACAATACCATTAATGATAATTGTAATTCTACTACCTGACTGTCTGAAGTCCCACTGTACAATAAACAGTATATACATGTAAATCTTGTTGGAATGCTGAAGGCTACAGCTTTATTTCTTTGACAATGTCTTGTTATATTATTCAGATTAAACCCTGGACACTTGACAAAAACAGTTTTGTGTTTTGTACAATTGACAAGTCTTATGCAATCTATTTTCCCGAGTAGAATAATATTTCCTCTCAAATGCTATCAATTGTGTTTTTAGCACTGTAGACTACAATTTAACTGTATTTGTAAATAACTCTTGTGTTCTATTGAATAACATTGTATCCAGTTACCTAGAAATACATATCTTTACTACATAAATCTGTGCTTTGGGGTAGTGGTTGGTTTGTCTGATTAAACAGTCAGTTGGTAAAATGTTGTGGTCAAAGTTTATTGTTGAATAACCACTTGTTCTAAGCAACTGGCTTTGCATTTTCCTTTGGATGGCCACTTAATACAAACTAGACTGTAAAAATTTACCAAAATTTCATTTCATTTTGATAAAAATATTTTGCACAAAATGATTATTATTTTTGAATAGTATTTGGAAGATTATAGATATGTATAAATACGAATATGATAATAACTTCATGACAGTAACATAATTATCGTTGGTCTGGGAGGTCTTTATCAGTGTCACACTGACCGTTTTCTGAAGTCGGGAAGGGTGCGGGAAGATGAGGCGATGAACACTGGCCACTGTGGCCACCAGGATGATGACATTGCCATGAGACTCCCACACTGTCACACCACCAAAGATCTGAGTTTCCAGGAACTTAAATCGCACTTGTGATCCCAGCAGGTTAAAGTCCAGACTCTGCTCCACCAACTCAAGCACATCATTGCTAGTTCTCCTGGAGTAGAATTTCACCAATATAAATAATGACAATGTAAAAAGTGCTATAATTCAGAAGTCAACGTAATGTACTGATATCCCTGGGTGCTAGTTTATATCATTGTATTTTATCTTAAACAAGGCAACATATCTAATTATGTAGAAATAAAAAATCTGCTGATAAGATAGCATCAGTACTATTTATCAGGATTGGAATTCATAAAATTAGCAAGAGGCAAACTTAGTCAAAGTTTTTTTCATTTATCTGTTTTTTTAAAGTATTTTAACATCGTTGACACATGTGACCTTAAAGCACGAGTCAGTGTTATTCCATTGACAAAATAAATTCTCAATTGCAACAAGCAACACAACAGGTTAAAAACCTGTCTCCAGACATCATGGTTCAGTGTATAAACAAATTGAACCTCAGGCACATATCATCCATGTGACCTCAGTTATTTTGTTACTTAAATGTTACAACAGCCTGTTCCTTTATGAATTGGGAAAATAAAGCAATTTTTATATTGAAATTAGGAATATATTCCTCAGTTTTTTGGTCATTTTTTAGCTATGGGAAACAGCATGTATTTGGCAGTAAAACTGAGCAAAAACATTTGAAGAAACCTTCGGCATCATTCCCATACGCTGTCTGGGGATACTTCAGATTTCGCATAAGTATGTGTACTATTTGTTACACTGACGTGACTTACAAAACAGGCAACACAACAAATATGACTACCCATATGCATCTTAAAGAGGAAGCATGACATTTTTTTGGGGGCCTAAGGCATCAATATCGCCATTAGAGAAAAAGACATCAGTGACGACAAAACATGGAAGTCCTGCACAATTATTACTATTTATAAGTAAGAAACAGTCAAATGCGTCTTCCCGACATTTCCATCGAGGCCAAAACATTTGACATCAAAAGTCCATGACATGAAGCAATCAGAACAGCGATCTATAGGCGGATTCATTGCTATAGATATGAGGTTGCCAGGTTTCTAACATGCTTATTATGGCTAGGTACAAGTACACAGTGTCGAGAAGAACATGAATGATCTTGAGCTATGATTTAGTATATTCAAATGATCAACAGTGACATTAATTTGTATTAAAAGTACCGGTATTGTATCATATCGAAACGTACAGAACCGTGAATGCTGTACCGCGATACGTATTGTATCGTGAGGTAGGTGTATCGTTTCAGCCTTGCATTATATATATATATATATCATTACTTAATGTCTCACAGTTCACTTCAAGAAAAACTGCACCAGATTCATGGATAATGACCAGCACTCAGGACAAGCAAGCCACCAGGCACTTTGCGCTAGATGAACTTAAATCCAATTAAGATATTGCCTTGATTTCACTTCTGTTATGATGAAATATTTGTTGACCGCATGTAATTATAAGATGGATGAATTTTACTTACCAGTAGATGAAGCGGTTTCTGACTGCTGACTGAGGCACACCACTATCCAGGTAGGAGTATCCACCACAACTGTCTGGTACTTTGATATCTTGAAGTGTGCTGGCTGATGCCCCTAAAAAACAAACACAAATTCCGTAAGAATTCACTTTTTTTTTAAATGTTCTAAAAACTTTTATGCAGGTTCTGTTCAGGGAGAAATAATCCCTCTTTTTCATAGTTAAATTCTTTTTTTCTTCTTACAAAAAAATAAATAACTAATAGTCTAGTTGTCCCCTTGATAAATTAAAGAATTAAATTAACATGAGAATGTGTGTGACTTCTCATCTACCCACTTCTTGTTGAACATGTTAACTAATAAATTTATTAATGAAATTTATTAACCTCAAACATACATAGTCGAGCAGTTCACTTTTTTACTGTCCTTTTTTGCCACCGTACTGTGGAAAACATAACCAAATTAAATACAGATAACGTAGTAGGCACACACACAAGATAGGCAGTCGCCATGTTTGTTGACATTTTCTATAGCAGTACTTATCAAAGATGTTAAATCAATCTTTTACAGAATTATGGCAAGAATGTATCGGAACTGGACTGGGTCGATCGTCAGTATCCAGATAGCTCAATTGGTAGAGTATCCGTCTAGAGTTCGGAGAGTCCTCGGTTCAAACTCCAGTCTGGCCGTGCATTTTTCTTCTCCTGTTACATTTGGCGCCCAACGAAATATACCCACAGAAGGTGGTATAGGGTCTCATGTGTCTTTAGGGGTTTCTGTTTCTGCCATATAATTGCCTCTTTCACCATGAAGATCATGCAATGTTTCTAACTAAGGCATTGCAACCCCAGGAAAATTTTTGGGGACTAGGGACTTCATATTAGATATTTGCATGTACAGTTAAAACTAATTTACAGTTGAGACCATGGTCTACAATAATGACACAATCCTGGCCTTAAAGGCTTCATGTGTCTATATCCACGATATCTGGAGGTAGGGCATTCCAATCATGCACTGTCCTTGGAAAGAAGGATATTTTTCTTGTGTCAATGCGTGAGGACAGGAGTTTGTATGATCGGTTGTGATGTTGTCTTCCCGATTGTCTGGTAGGTTTTATCAGGCTGTTTTGTTTGCTGAATTTTTTATGAAGACTTTGTTAAAGGAGGGAGGAATGTAGCAGAACAGGACTGGATCGATCGTCGGCGACCAGATAGCTCAATTGGTATAGCATCCTTCGAGAGTTTGAAGGGTCCCGGGTTCGAACCCCGGTCTGGATGTGCATTTTTCCCTCTCTTGTTACAATAATAACAAATGGATTAACAGGTAAGGCTTGGAATAAAATATATTTGATATGATCAGTAAAACGTGATTTTGCACTTACACCGTCAAAAACCGATGACATCGTGGTACTAAAGCACCGTCACATACATGGGGCCTGTTCGTTTATGGAGAACAACCAGTTTGACTGTTTTTAAATGAAATATTTTCGGATATAAATCCTGACCTGCAAATGTTTATGCAGACCTTGCAAGGCTTTGTCAAGTCTCGCCTGAAAGCAGCATCAGATTACTAGGTCGAACTTTATTTCATAAACGACCAACTGAGGTCCAATCGTTTGAATCGCGATAAACGAAAGCGGCCCAGGTGTTTTGCCGGTGCTCCAGTTTCAGTTTCTCGAAATAGAAAATGTCCAACTATCTGTCGAGGGAATGCATCTTTATTGTCAGGTATCGGATGATAAAAAGATGCTGCTGTTCAACACTGAAATAAACTGTAATCTACCTGTGTTGACTGTAATTTCTTTCCATTTGGATGATGGGCTTGAAGGAACAACAACTTCTCGGAAAGATTTCCCACTCATGCTTTCCGCCATTTTTCAAACTCTCGAAAACCGGAAGTCAACTAATATGTTTCTTTTCGCGAGGCAAAAAAAAGATTGATCAAAAGCATTGTTAAAAAAACGATACTTTTGGAACTCATCAGTTTTAACATTATATGGATATGAATCATTCAAAATTGTACATAAATATCCACTTTGGCTAGAGGCTACATCACTGACGACTTCCTGTTGCCATTTTGCGGCGTGCATTGGAATAATAGCCTATGGAATATTTTGCATGAATTCGTTGATCTAGCATTTCGTTATTTTACACATTGACACAGTAATCATGCCTAAGTAAGTATGGCTAACCATTCAAACGTTCATGTGGTAAAAATTAACAGTTCGGTGTATCCAAACGTAACACGGCTGTTAATATTATGCCGACTACGGTGTAATCGTTGGACCTACGATGAAATAATAAGACGGTTCGTCCACAACATTTAAACCGTCATACTCCACATTTTGTATATGAATCGATGCGTTTCCATATGTAATCGTAAAGTAAGTTTGTCGTGCTGTATTAAGAGGTTATGGTCCGGATGGGGTAATGACGAAAAATGCAGAAGAATTTGTAAAATCGGCAACACACATGACAACAATAAAACGGATCCGGGTCGTTTCGCCCTAATTCCCGTTCGCATGGCGGGTCGTTTCGACCTTTTTTCAACTCGCCCAAGAATGTTTTGCACTAATATAATTTTTAACTTATGTGGTTATCAGTTGAATATTCAATTATTTAAAAAGCTTTCTATTTTCATGTTTCACCACAGAATTAGATTGAAGAACAAAGAAGAAGTCCATGGTTTCACGAGTAATTGTCCTGTTGGAATAATTTCATGCTACATTGTATGTGCAGATCATAAAGTCGACCATGTACAAACCTAACGAGTCTTAAAACTAAAAAATGCTAAGGTAGACCTAGAAAAACTTCAAATTAGACTACATACTAAATACAGTACACTTCAGGTGATTTGGTACTGAAACCCCGCGCGGGGGACAGTCGTAGCGCAGGCGACCCCCCCTAAAGCCCCACCGAGAAATCACCTGAGCAAAGTCGCGGGGGGCCGCCCACCCCGCGCGGATGAGCGTTGGGGATTAACTTGTCGATCGGCAGCTAACTATTGTACTGTACATTGAATAGCACTGACAGTCCAGGATGCCCGAATGATATATTTATATGCTGTATGCACGACTATTTCTTGCAATACAATATAGTAGTAGAACGTGGTACGTCCGAAAAAATATCATTTACGTTTACGTCAGATTATCGGGTGGAAATCGGTCGGAATAAAACAATTATGTAAGGTAACATGACTAACGTCTCTGAGTAACACGAGGCTATCTTTCAGTTGTTTTAGCAGCACACGGTGTCTTGGATGGTCAGCTATTTGCACCAACTATTCTTGCTCTATTTCGTATTCGAAGTCAGAAGGTTGCATAAATTCATGAAAGAAAATCAGCTGCTTTCGACGACCTAGTTACAGGTGGCGCTGTTGATGTACATTACGTAATGCGATGTCAATCAGGTGAAGCCGAAATACTTTGACGAGTAACGGAGATGTGTAAAATTCTTCCATTTTCTTGTGTGTACACTTTGTTTGAAAGTTTATAGGGAAATATTACGAACCAGTAAACGAAACAAAATGTCTCGTCTCCAATTAGCGTAGTGAT